TCGGGGATGAGCATGGCCGGGCCGGGGAGCACGCCGCCCGGGCCCCGCCTCCTCTTGGGCTGGCTGACCAGCACCGGCTGCTTCAGGTCGGTGATCTCCTGGTTGTATTGCTGTGGGGGGAAGGGGGTCAGTGTGCGGGAGGAGCCAGCGCAGCCTGGCGGTGGGTGGGCGGGTGAGCGGCGTACCTTGCGGTAGTACTCCAGGAAGCTGACCTCCGAGCCGTCCGCCTTCCGGAAGGTGCTGCTGGGGTTCTGGTCCCAGTCGATGTCGTCCACACGGTAGGTCTTGTTGTTGTACCTGCCGGGCGAGTGCGTTTACTGGGCCGAGATGGGGAGTCGACGCTGCAGCCGCAGCCCACGTGCGTCACGAAAGGAAAAGGAACAAGTGTCCTGGACCAGGCTGGGCGGGGAGGGACTGGACCCGTCGGGAAGTAAAACTAAAGCCGGCGCCTGCCCTTCTCGGGGCTGCTCGGAGGGAGGGAGGGAGGCTGTGGGCCCAGCGGGCGGGACCCCCTAACGGGCCTGTGGTTCTAGCGGGCGGGACCCCCTAAGGGGCCTGCGGTCCCGGTGGGGGCCTCACTTGGTGAGCACGATGAGGCCGACCAGCTCCTTGGAGACCTGCTCCTGGAAGCGGTGCTCCTCCGTCTGCTGGTAGAGGCTGAACATGAAGTCCAGCACCGTCTCGCTGCGCAGCACCTTGTGGCTGACGTCCGTGCACAGCATGATGTTGTTCTCGTACTGCAGGATGGAGGTCGTGAAGCCGGGCCAGATCACCAACCTGCGGGCACACCTGTCTGTGGGCACCTGCCCGCCCGCCTGAGGGCACCCCGCTTACCCCCCCCCCCGTGTTTTACAGGCTCCACGTAAAGACCTGTCCCTGAGAGGCTCACAATGTTTAGCTGAAAGTCAGTAACTAACTTTATTCAAGTGTCCGTGTCCTGCCTGAGACTGGAAGCGGCCGGTCTCACCGAAAGCGTCGTGGGTTCTCGTTATCGCACCCAGCCCTGGGCGCCACCTGAGGCGCTGAGCCCCGAGGCCACGGCCCAGGCTGGGGGGCAGA